CAGCTTTAAATTACTCTTCCTTTTCTTTATTTCTAAATCCTGTTCTGCAATCCATGTGAGTAACAGATTTTCCAAGCCTTCATTATGTGCCTCATAAATTTCAAATGCCTCTTCCTGAGGTTAAGTGTAAATTTTCTTTTTGTTTCTATTTTCTCTAAAACATCGTCGTTTCTCACATGTTCGGTCTATGGTATCCTCAGCATCTTTCTGTAGAAATACATTTCTGTTGCTTCAGGTCTTGTCTTCATCTTTGAGGAACTGCCAAAGCGAAGTAAAAGGCGAATAGGCCGATCGTTAGAAGGATGAGACACATGGTGGGAACAGATGTTGTTATAAGATAATCTCCACAAATCCTTCCATATCCTTGCCTAATTGCATAATCGTGATATATTAAATGTAAATAGGAACTCTTATAGTTGATATGCACGTAGCTTGGCGGTTAATATTTACCCAGACCCCGTAGATTATCATTACTAACTTGGAGCTCTTCTGAATTCGTAATAATGTAACATTAAGCGTACATAGTGGGGAGTTTTATATGCTATCAAGTATTGTAAACTGGTTGTATTCCCTCTGTTCCACCAGTTCAGACCTTTACAGCTAGGACACACCATGCTAATCCCACAGACTCAAATCACCCTCATTTCCCCCGTATCTTCTTTTATGTGCCGTGTCCCTTCAAGACGTAAGCGATCATGGCTCTCCACCTCCTCTTGTCCCTTGTAACTCTTAATAACTTGTCTTTTTGTTATTTCTCTGTTCCGTCAAGCCCATTAAGTATGTCACGTGTTGCTTTCTCCTGTCCTTCTTTCCCTCTATCCGTCCTGTGAGTATCAAATTTTCCAAACTTTCCTTCCTCATTACGTGTTCCCGATGTGCTAAATATAAGTTTCCTCTTTGTTTCCGTCCTCTCCAAGACCCATCAAATGTAAGAATTTTTTCCCAAGAACTTCTATTTTCAGGTACAAACTCCCAAATGAATGCTTTCCTTAATATTACGATCTTAACCTCTAAGTCGAGGAAATGTCGTTATCTATCCTCCTTATCCACATAATAGTGACTTCCTGCTACCTCATCCATCATAACCATTTTAATACTTTCCCTCTGACTTAAGTGGCTCTCAAGCGTTCTATTTTGTGAAAATTAGTATTAAAAATAATTTATTTGCCCACTTTTGTTTGTACATGTGTGTATTTGCGTGTGTGATTAGGCCTGTGTGTATTTGCGTGTGTGTGCATGCGCGCGCGCTTCTATATGCATAAATTTAAATAATTTCTTTTTTATGTACGTACCATAATTCCCCATATATATCACGCCTTCATCCATAATACGTATTCCTAAAACTGTGCTGAATTTGTGCGAAAATGCTTCTACGCACGCATAATACGCACTCCTTTTTTAGTAATGAAACCCTATAAATTGTACCTTTCTAAATTTATTACGGCCAGCATTTCCTACTCTTATTCAAGGTGTAATTGAAGTTATTTATCAAAATTTCCGATCATCACGATTCTAAAAGGAAACGGAAATGCCTTTATTGTGCCTTCTGCGCAGACTCATTAACTTGTTTTTGTTCGATAAAATGTGCACTATACCGGATCTGTATGTAGTTTAAAAAAAAAAAATGGTTTTAAGCATAGAATATTATTATTCTAATTTAGTTTTATGATAATTCTTATTTTATTTTACATTTGTAAATATTGTTAGGTACATATGGTTGTATTTGACATCCTTATGGGGTCGCAATCGCCGAATGTTAGTATCAAATTGTCGTATGTCTCTGGTGAGTAGTCATTTCGCAACTGAGATCGACCTATGAAACGGTAATTTTTTAAAGATATTTTTGTAGCTGTACATAATACGCACCCCTAATTTTGCTTATTATTTTTTTTAGAAATAAATGCGTATTATACCTAGGGAATTACGGTATTTGGTGCCAGATAAAAATGTCTTTGGTCTTCAAGCTGGTTCGACACTGATCGTTCAGAAAGTTTAGTTGTCGCTTTTTCGCCAGGCGGCACCGGTTTTCTTGTGGCAAGAGGTGCTCAAACGCTTTCCGAAACTCACTGGACTCCGATATCGATATACCTCATGCTATATACGGATCTAAATCTGCTATGCGATGTCTCGGTTTCCCTGATCACTACAGTCTTAACCTCTTCAAGTCAAGGGTTAATTTGTGTCTGTTTTCCTTCTCCTCATAACGGCTACTTCCTAACACCTCTTCTTTCATTCGTATCACTCATTTCATTCATTATTACCATCTTAACAATACTCCTCTGTCCTTAGTAGCTATCGCGCCTTGTATTGTGAACTTTAGTATAAAAATAATTTATATAAATAATATAAAGTTCTTGTTTGTGTATGCCCATGTGCATTTGAGTGTGTACATGTGTTTGTGTTCTTACACTTTTATGTGTACAGGTTTACGTAATTCTTATATATAAAGTACAGTGTATGTGTGTGCGTGCGAGTGTCCAAGCAACTCCACCGCTCCCACTGGTCCGATTTCAATGATTGATATCTCATTCAAAAGCCCTAAAAAAGTTAGGCGCATGGAACGATTTTCGTTGAGCACAGATTCAGGGTTACCAGATTATGCGAGGTTAAAACTATATATTAATATATTATACTAGCCATTATCATTGCTTTCATGGTTCAAGGGGAGTAACTCTTATTTTCCTTTTGTATCCAAAATTTCAGTTAGCTTAGAATTTTAAGCTAGCTTAAAAGCCACTCTATCGGGCAGCATTCAAGCTAGCTCCTGTGGAAGACTCTTGGTTTGGCCATCATCACAATAGCTAGGGAGGAATAGATGCGATAGGCATCAATAAACTACAGAAGAACTCAAAATTGATCGCTGCATTCAAGTATTAAATTAATATTTAACATTTTAAAAGTTCAACGATAATTCTTCTACTGTTACTTAATTGATGTACGTAAATCATTATTTTCCGTACAAACAATAATTTTTATTTCATGGGTGACAGAAGACGGGACAATTTATAAGATAAAATTAATACAGTGTAAAGATGGGAAAATAGAAATTAGAATTAGTTATCCATTCAACATTTGAAGAGTTAGAGAAACATAATAGCTAATTAAGTAAAGCCTATATTATGGAATCTATATGAATAATTGCGAAATTGGAGCTCAATTCTCCCACGAATTTTGAGATTTAAAAATCCCCAGCTCACTCAATAACTGCATTATATATTATCTACTTCTAAGCTATATTACTCTTCAGGTTTAACTAATTTCCGTATTAAATTTAAAAAAGTTTATTTCATTAATTAACTGTCCTTCATTACTGTTCTTTTATTCGTGGATTGTTTTGATTTTCATATCCAAAATAGTTCTGTTTAGGAATATTGTCTTATATAGTGCAGAAAAGTGTTTGAAATTTGCATTTTACTTGACCTTCAACAAGTTGGCATCTATTTGTAAAACTTTTCTTAACTATAAGAAGCCAATTTATGAATGAAATGTTCATTTAAAATTTTTGTTTCAAAGATTGCAAGTAGTGAATATATCTTACTTTGAGAAGCGATAGCGAGCAGGTGAAGCCTGCTAGTTTTGTTACAGAAACGTATTACAACTGATCATTTCTTTTTCATAAATATATTGCTGTTATTTTTATCATAACGTATTTTTGACCCACCAAACAAAAAGCAATATACTATTTTCCCATAGCTGGGACCCTAACAAGTTCTACCACTTCAGGTCAGGGTGGACCTGGAAAAAACAGCAATTAAGAGGTGGTTCCACGCTCCTTAAAACCTCCTGAGCAGGGGCTTTGTAGCTGGGTGTAGTTTATCGTTATACCTATGACTACACGTATTCGGTTTCAAGCAAATCTTCCTTGAGTGGCTCTCTAAACTTGTATCACTTGAATTTTAGTATATAAATAAGATATATAAGAGTTCAATCATATTTTCTGCTGTGAGATATACATTTTTTTTAAATATACGCGACGCGAGTATATTAAATTGTATATTTTGTAACAAGTTTTAAATTTAGTTATCACACTATTTATTTTTATTTATTTATTTTATTTTTATTTATTTATTTATTTGTTTTTTTACTATTTGATTTGATTTCAATTTGCGAAGGAAGGGATGCAGCAGACAAAAAATTCACAATTAAAACCATGCATCACAAGTCTATAACGCTGTTGCAATAATTGTGTTCATTTAACTTTTAGCGTGGAACCTAAATCCCCCATTCACTAACAAGCGCATGCGCAACACACGACGTCAGGAAAGAAGGATTTTCAGAGCACATGCAAAAACATAAATAAATAAATAAATAAATAAACTCGTCAGCCGGTGGCCACGACGGACAACCCAACCGGCTGACTGACTGACTGACTAACTAACTGACTCCCTGTTCTTGGGTCTATCCCCTTGTCCCATTTGATTTCGTTCTCTCACTTGCTCACACGATCCGCGTTGTCGTATCGGGCTTGTTATTGTGTAGTTTCTGTGCAATGACCACACGGAGAAAGTGTGGGAAAAGGCATTTTTTGTTCGTACTAGTTTAAACACATGGCTACAGTCAGCTGGGAGAGAGTGCCCCGAATTGATTGTGTTGTGGGTCTGCCAAAAACACCAACATCGAAAATAAGGAAAAGTATTTTAAGATGCGAATTACATGGAACTGAGGTAGGTTTTTTTTTTACTTACTTCACTTCACAGTCACAATGTGTCTCTTTCATTTTTATTTTTGTAATTAGCTGAATTTAATCTACATTAATCTTTGCTGCTATTATTATTATTATTATTATATTTTGGTGGGGAGGGGGATTTCTTATCGAAAATCTTCTTTCTTTCCGTATATTTATCAATGCGTATATATATCTATATTTTTTAAAGCAGTTGTCTTCTCCCGGTAAAGCCGTTACCTACCAAGTAACATCTTACGTGGTTCTTTCTCTCTCTTCGTCACAATAATTTTGTTTCTTTGTTTCGTCTTGTTTGCTTTCCTTCCATGAATGGTTCATGGATTATGTCTGTTTATCTATCTATCTACACTTAGGTAAAATTCGCGCACACACACACATGTATTCACTTGTATCCAACACCTAAATATTCTTAGCTAAATCTGGCACAGGCCTCTTTTATAGGAGAAACAGGAAGGATAATAATCAGTAATGAATTGATTTGGAAGCGAATGTGATAACCGTTGCACTACGGGAAAGTCCAGGGAAAAGAGAGAAAAAAAGAGCGATAGAAAGAAAAGAGAGAGGAAGAAAGAGATGGAAAATGACATTTTAGATAATGGTAGATTGTAGAGAGCATGAATATTGCATGTTCTGTTTTCATTTGTCCCTCTGTCTCCTCAAAAATTCTGTTGTTGTTTTATTGGGACGTTGGACCTTTCTCTGCCTCCATCTGTCGTTCTTAATCATTCTCTCTAAAACGGGCATATAAAATAATATCTATTCTGTTAGGTGACTGTTAAATGTTCCCTTGTTATATATGTCGATTTTCATTGTGTATTCAAGTCTCTGGTTTTCAAAAGGAAAACGATGGTAACTTTTTAATATCTCGAAGTCAGCGTGTTTTATCACAGTACCTACCAACCTACCTACCCATCTATCTATCTATCTATTCATTCATCTATCTATCTATCTATCTATCTATCTATTATCTATCTATCTAAACCTATTTAGTCTGTCCAGATCTATTAATCTATCTATCATCTATCTATCTATCTATCTCTCTTCATCTATCTATCTATCTATCCCCAGTCTGTCCAAACCTATTTCTTAGTCTGTCCAGATTCATCTATCTATCTATCTATCTATCTATCTATCTATCCCAGTCTGTCCAAACCTATTTCTTAGTCTGTCCAGATCTATCTATCTATCTATCTATCTATTCATCTATCTATCATCTATCTATCTATCTATTCATCTATCTATCCCCCAGTCTGTCCAAACCTATTTCTTAGTCTGTCCAGATTCATCTATCTCATCTATCTATCTATCTATCTATCTATTCATCTATCATATTCATCTATCTATCCCAGTCTGTCCAAACCTTATTTTCTTAGTCTGTCCAGATCTATCTATTCATCTATCTATTCTATTCATCTATCTATCTATCTATCTATCTATCCCAGTCTGTCCAAACCTATTTCTTAGTCTGTCCAGATCTATCTATCTATCTATCTATCTATCTATCTATCTATCTATCTATCTATCTTTTTGTTATAACTATTTCAGTTTTTGCATATGGATCTGTTTCTGTCTGTCACTATGTATGTATGGATAAATATATTCATCTTTCTCTTTCGCTCTCATATATATATATATATATATATATATATATATATATATATATATATATATAATACCTATTTCACTTTGTGTATATATCTCTTCGGGGAAATTATAAAGATGAAATAAAAATTAAACAGAGTTTTTTTTCTTCTCGTGAATTGAATGCGTATTGTTGTTTAAATGAATTCTTTCTCTTCACATATTATCTATTTATTTATCTTTCTGCTTGTCCGTATGTTTGTTTTTATAGAAATTTGAATTGATGGATGTCAAAATCTGTTCATATCTGTCTCGCTATCTGTCTCTGTTATCTACCACTGTAAATTATCTATCTATCTATCTATCTATCTATCTATCTATCTATCTATCTATCTATCTGTCTGTTCATTATGTATCTATCTACCTCTGTAAATTATATTGGTATCTATGTTCATTATCTATCTATCTATCTATCTATCTATCTATCTATCTATCTATCTATCTATCTCTGTAAATTATGCATGCATGTATGTATGTATGTATGTATGTATGTATGTATGTATCTATCTATCTATGTTCATTATGCATCTATCTATCTACCTCTCTAAATTATGTATGTATGTATGTACGTACGTGTCTATCTCTGTTTATAATCTAGTTGTTTATCTATCTATTCATCTCTGTGTAAATTATGTATGTATCTATCTACCTCTGTAAATTATGTATATCTGTATGTATGTATGTATGTATGTATGTATGTATCTATCTATCTATCTATCTATCTATCTATCTATCTCAGTCGGTTTCTTTCTTTCCATCTCAGCCATTTCTTCATCTATCTATCTATCTATCTATCTATCTATCTATCTATCTATCTATCTATGTGTCTGTGTGTATGGATGGTTGAATGAATGAATAAATATCTCCTAAATCTGTTCGTCTATTTCACTCTCTTCATTTTCATTTAAGACGGCTAACTCTTTCTTGCAAAATTCGCTTTCTTTCCTTCGCAAATCCGCGTGTTTCTCACATTAACAAATCCTTCCCATTTTTTTCTTTTTTTTTTTTTTGCCTTCTTGTTCCTCTTCTGTTTTCCTTTAATTTTCATCAGACACGTGTGCGGGCATGTCCCATTATACGCGCATGCGCGTCACTCTAAGTGTGTATGTGTATGTATGTATGTGTGTGTTTGCGTGTGATCTACAATTGGACGAATGTCTGAGGTTGCTCGCCTTGTCTTGACGTTTAAAGAAACATGTCGAATGCCACCGCCAAAAATGACCATCTTTACAAAATAAATAATACGACCAACCAATCTCTCTCTCTCTTTCACACACACAGAATCTCCCCTCTCTCTTTACAAATGTAAAGAGAGAAAGATTATATATATATATTGTTCACGTTATCCATCTTTTGCAAAAATCTTACCTGAGCCTGTCACGTGACAAACACTGCCCTTGTCTTCTTCATACGGAGAAAGCAGTTTTTGGGGGGTTTTATTTTGTTTCGTTTTTTTTGGTTTTTTTTTTTGGTTTTGTTTTTTGTTTTGTTTTCCTACCGGTCTGTCGTTTTTTTAATTTTGAAACGAAACTCATTTTTTTTTTTAAATGCTTTATTTACTTTATTATTCAGCGATTTTTTTTTTTTTTTTTGTCTGTCATTTTGATTTGATTTTATTTGCAGCCAGAAAAAAATAACGACAATGTTTCTGACGAGATTATCATTTCTCGTGTTAACGAAGGTGGAGCTGCAGATAAGAAAGGCTTGAAACTACACGACCAGATCCTTAAGGTAAGAACGAAAATTTGAGATAAGCCACGAAAGAGATGAAGTAAAAAAAAGATTATTATTATTAATTATTATTATTATTATTATTATTATTATTTATCACTAACATCAGCTAGAATACAGGAAAAAGTCCTGGATACTTTTGGAGAATTACTATCACTTGGTCTGTGCCGGTAGAAACCAGCTACAAAAAACAACGAGTAAGTATGTGAGTAATAATAATAATAATATTAATAATAATAATAATAATAGAAGTAGTAGTAGTCGTAGTTTACGCTTATGGAAGCAGAAATTTGTTCCATGGAACTTTTTCAGACAAACCCCCCAAAAGTCGGTGAGTTCAATTGGGGCCGCGATTCGAACTGATATGCTTGATAAAATAGCACAGCTTGGGAGTTGTACTTAGAAAAGTTTTGTTGATGCTGAGGGGTGGATAAATAAGAGGACCCATGGTCAGTTACTCATCGTTAAACTACGGTGTAAGATCTGCTTGAGAAAGAGATAATAATAATAATAATAATAATAATAATAATAATAATAATAATAATGGGAAGAAGAAGATGATGGTGAATAGGATGGAGAAGTAGAAAATGAAAAGATGAGGATAAAGAAGAAGGAAAAGGCAGAGGGAATAATAATAATAATAATAATAATAATAATAATAATAATAATAATAATGGGAATAAGAAGATGATGGTGAATAGGATGGAGAATTAGAAAATGAAAAAAAAAGATGAGGATAAAGAAGAAGGAAAAGGCAGAGGAATAATAATAATAATAATAATAATAATAATAATAATAATAATGGGAAGAAGAAAGATGGTGAATAGGATGGAGAAGTAGAAAATGAAGAAGATGAGGATAAAAAAAGAAGGAAAAGGCAGAAGTGAATAATAATAATAATAATAATAATAATAATAATAATAATAATAATGGAAAGAAGAAGATGATGGTGAATAGGATGGAGAAGTAGAAAATGAAAAAGATGAGGATAAAGAAGAAGGAAAAGGCAGAGGGGAATAATAATAATAATAATAATAATAATAATAATAATAATGGAAAGAAGAAGATGAGGGTGAATAGGATGGAGAAGTAGAAAATGAAAAGATGAGGATAAAGAAGAAGGAAAAGGCAGAGGGGATAATAATAATAATAATAATAATAATAATAATAATAATAATAATAATGGAAAGAAGAAGATGAGGTGAATAGGATGGAGAAGTAGAAATGAAAAAGATGAGGATAAAGAAGAAGGAAAAGGCAGAGGGAATAATAATAATAATAATAATAATAATAATGATAATAATAATAATAATAATAATGGGGGAAGAAGAAGATGATGGTGAATAGGATGGAGAAGTAGAAAATGAAAAAAGATGAGGATAAAGAAGAAGGAAAAGGCAGAGGGAATAATAATAATAATAATAATAATAATAATAATAATGGGAAGAAGAAGATGGTGAATAGGATGGAAGTAGAAAATGAAGAAGATGAGGATAAAGAAGAAGGAAAAGGCAGAAGTGAATAATAATAATAATAATAATAATAATGGAAAGAAGAAGATGATGGTGAATAGGATGGAGAAAGTAGAAAATGAAGAAGATGAGGATAAAGAAGAAGGAAAAGGCAGAGGGGAATAATAATAATAATAATAATAATAATAATAATAATAATAATAATGGGAAGAAGAAGATGGTGAATAGGATGGAGAAGTAGAAAATGAAGAAGATGAGGATAAAGAAGAAGGAAAAGGCAGAAGTGAATAATAATAATAATAATAATAATAATGGAAAGAAGAAGATGATGGTGAATAGGATGGAGAAAGTAGAAATGAAGAAGATGAGGATAAAGAAGAAGGAAAAGGCAGAGGGGAATAATAATAATAATAATAATAATAATAATAATAATAATAATAATAATAATAATGAAAGGAAGAAGATGATGATGAATAGGATGGAGAAGTAGAAAATGAAGAAGATGAGGATAAAGAAGAAGGAAAAGGTAGAGGGGAATAATAATAATAATAATAATAATAATAATAATAATAATGAGAAGAAGAAGATGATGGTGAATAGGATGGAGAAAGTAGAAAATGAAGAAGATGAGGATAAAGAAGAAGGAAAAGGCAGAGGTGAATAATAATAATAATAATAATAATAATGAGAAGAAGAAGATGATGGTGAATAGGATAGAGAAAGTAGAAAATGAAGAAGATGAGGATAAAGAAGAAGGAAAAGGCAGAGGTGAATAATAATAATAATAATAAATTCTTCGAAGTACGTAACTGCTAGAGGTTATAAATATGAGCATATGTCTAATAAAAAGAAATCGGAGAAAGAATTTTGCTAAATTCTTCAAATATAAGGATCTGGAACATAGAATCTACAAGACTATCAATTTTAAATACAACCGTTATTCCGGTAGCAATAGGAGCACTGGGAATTATTAACAATACTGATAGACAGAAGAAGAAAATACCCAAGATTATATTGCTCAGCTGCTTAAGAAGAAGAAGAAAAAAAACTCTTTCTGTTAATTTACTCAGAAAAAAGTTTCCCTTTGCCTTAGAAAAACTTGGTATGGGACTGTAGCAAATAAATAAATAATAATCCTATCCTTGTTTTACAAGTGATTCAAAACAATGCACTGCTTGGAACTGCACATCTTCTCAGGAGAGTATTATCGATGTAAAGAAAATATAAACACGGTACATGTTGAGTATCATTGAACATCAGAGCGTGTACAGACTGAAAGGATGAATTTACTACATGGTCTTACACTCGATCTTGGTTAATGAAACGGTAGGGGACTGAGTTGGAATGGAAGTAAAAATACTGTTTTATTATTATTATTATTATTATTATTATTATTATTATTATTATTTCTGTTATGGACACACTACCTACCAAGTCTGCGGAAAGACCTAAGGCAGGTCGTGGTGTGTTGTTATGGCCACATTTCATGTTAATTTTTTTTTTTTTTTTTTTTTTTTATCTCAATGAAGTTTAGCGTTACATAGACAAAGTTCTCCTTAGTGTGTGTGCTGTACTTAATAAGACAATTTTCTGTATGTCTTAAGCTGGGGTTTCAGGGATTCTTTCAATGTGTTGTTTTGTTCCATTTTTTATAATTCCAAGTGCACCTATTACCACTGGTATTATTCTTGTTTTTCAATTTCCACATTTTTTATTTCAATTTCCAGGTCTTTGTATTTTGATAGTTTTTCAAATTCCTTGGTTGCTATGTTACAATCCGCTGGACAAGCCATATCAATTAGTAGGCAAGTTTTTTCTTTCTGGTATTATTATTATTATTATTATTATTATTATTATTATTATTATTATTATTATTATTATTTCTGGTGTATACTCATTCCCTTCCGGGTCCCAACCAGAGACCTAAGATCAAAAATGGCATCTTGACATTTTCCACTGAAAATTAAAAAAAAAAGAAAACAAAGAAAAACAAAGAAATACAACAAAGAAATACAACAAAGAAACACATTTTACATAGATAAAGCCCTTCGTATGGCGTGGGAGTGTGACAACAATTATTTGTATTTCTTTAAGGCATGGGCTACCAGAAATCCATTCATTGAGTCTATCAGAAACTTTTCCCATCAAACCCATGGCCCCCAACCACAACTGAAATTATTGATGTCTTCATGCGCCACGTTTTTAAGGTTTTCCACTTCAAGATCGTTGTATTTTGAAAGCTTTTTTTTTAAAGATCTTCAAAGCTACAATGCAGTCTGCAGAGACTGCCATGTCAATAAAAAGCACATTCTGTTTGGGTGGTATTAATATTATTAATTAATTAATTAATTAAACAAGTTTGGTTTAAATCACGATCATCGAAGAAAGGGTTAAGATAGATCCACCTATGGGGAGACGAGCGTACTGGGTAAGGTAATGTAAATTTGAGGACACTTGCTGCTACTTGATCCACAGGGGCCGAAATTGGAGCAGGGGAATAATAATAATAATAATAATCACAGGATATGGGGAATGAATTCTGCGACTGTACCAATAGTAATCGGAGCTCGAGTTCTTGTGAGAAATGGAATGGACACTTTTCTTAAGTATCGTAGAAAACAACAATATACAAGTTTCCCAGAAGATCACACTACTAGGAATATCCCATATACTAAAAACAGTGCTATCAAATAAATAACAATTCTCCTTTAGAGGCTAAGAACCATAGCTTGGACCCGGATCTACAGGATACAAAACAGGAAACAACATACACAAATGATGATAATAATTCCAACAATAAAAGAATTACTAATTGTATAAAATACAATATAGAATGAGAATCGGTTTTTATATGGCTAAAAAAAAATTAGAACTGCAACCGACCCTGGAGATCATGAATACCTACTAAAGAAAAATTGTATCTATCTCTAGGCCGGTTGACATTAATTTCAGTGTTTAAAATAGCATGGGCGTATAGCTAACAACAAGTTCGTAACTGGTGCTAATATTTCAAACTAGAATCATCTGCTACTGCCAAGAAAAGGTGTAGCCACACAAATGACACGTCATCTTGTGTTTATTTATTTTTAATTTTATTTGTTTATTTGATGTTGTTGGAGTGGTGGGGGTCTCATTAATAGCCATATAAGGAGGTATGCCATTTTTAATATCTCTTCTTATACGTCATGTAATTTTAAATATTTGTCACGAGGAGAAATAAGGCGACAGACATACCAAAGGCAATATAATGATGATAGTAACTATTTTAGGTAGCGTTTGATTTTTGTGTTTATGTTACATACAAGCATACTTTTCGGAGTTATTTTTATTTTTATTTTTTTAAATTTGGATTCATGGGCTTAAGACGTGGATTGGTCTCGCTTCGATATACAACGGACGCCCAAACACAAATGCGTAGAAGAGAGATGGAGAGCAAGAAAGAACAAAAGCCGACTGCATATGACATTGTCCATATTGTTAAGCATAAAAAACGTATTCAGTTCTATAATTCTCTGAAAATAATTAATTAAATAAATATAAATTCATAGGTTTTGAATCGAGTCAGAATACAGTTAAAGAGAAAAAAAAAGTTTGTTTTCAATAATTCCTCCCCCGCCCACCGAAGCAAGGCAATAAAGCCACTAGAATGCAAGGGGTTATTAAGGGTTAGAGAATATGAGAAAAACTACTAAGATGCAAGGTATTGATGTGTGTGGGATAATATGCGAAAAAATAAAACATTATTAAGTAGAGAGTACAGTAAAAGTATAAGAATTAAGAAAACAGAAGATAAAGATTGACATTACATTTAAATTTTTGAAGATCAGAGTTGATTGGGAAACAAGAAGCCGGAAGAGAGTTCTACAAGGGATGAGTGCAACAGAAGAAACTGATAGCATAGAACTTGCGGTTACAATTACTGCATTTAAGTTAAAAAAATCTAGGTACCATAGAGAAATGTTCATCAGAACAATTACCATGAAAGTATTTGTAAAAAAGGTGCAGGGAAACTATGTTAGGCAGTGGGAAAGTGATTGAAGCCAAGATGCTAGGTCAGGATGAATAACATTGCAGATTTTCCTTTGGATTTTATCAAGAATCTCTAAATATATATGCAATTATTTTAATTATCCATTTATTCCTGTAATTTCTTTTTTTAGTTTATTATGAGTTAAAGATCAAATGCAGATCAAATATTGATCGGAATCCGACAGGATGATAAGATAAAGAACAAATAAAAAACGATTATCAATCTAACATGTTTCACTTTTATTAAAGCTTCGTCAGAGATTGAGAGAAAACAGACAAAAAGACAAAACTTTGGTATTTTCAGTTTTGTTTGGATTCATTCTCATTGGTCAGTCATGTATCATGTGCATTAAAACCGTAGATAATATATTAATTAATTAATATGTCTAAGCAGGCATCGGATGGTATAGAATTATCTATAGTTTTAATGCACGACTGACCAATGAGGAGTGATCCAAACAAAATTGAAAATACCATAGTTCTGTCTTTTTGCCTGTTTTGACTCAATCTCTGACGAAGCTTGAATAAACGTGAAACAGTTTAGATTGATATACGTTTCCTATTTGTTGTTATTATTTTGTGCCGTACGGTGGCCGTTAATGATTAAGTATAACTCAAGACTTCAATGCTAAGATAAAACAGTATTTAATTACAACCGCAAATAAATACTTAATAAGAACAAAGAAGTAAAAGTCAACCAAAGATAATTAACCTTTTCAGTTAATACCTTGTTAGTAGCGCGGCTCGGTTTAATGTCCGGTAAATCCTAAATCAAAACCGAAATCATCGACGCACAATAATTCACAGTAATTCGACTGGATATTTCCAATCAATAGTCACTCAATAATCACTTTAGTCAGTAGCCTGACACCGCTATTTATACACCTGGCGGAAAACATATATTGATAAGTCTAGAGTGTCGCGCTCGAGCCTCAGTGTCGGTAGTTATTCATTTTCTTCCTATATGACAATTATATTATTGTGTATTTATAATCTTAAAATACATGTTTATTTATATTATTTTATTTTTATTTTATTATATTATTTATATTTAAATAAGCTATATAAAAAAACTTCGTCACTATATATCTACCTGTCGGTTTGGTTTCATTTCCCGTATAAGACACAAAGTGTAGTCATCATTTTAAATCTTGTGTATCTGTAACACTTTTCAACAGATTATATAGATACGGTACTCTGATCCAAAAGAGAAGTGTTGGGAGGGACCTCTCGATTCGAAGCTTTATATTATATTTTACTTAATAGATAAAGAACCTTTCAAAAGACTCATCTTTGCGATTTCAAGTTCTGCAGATATACCGCTCTTGAAGTCGGGAAGATAACTCTTTTGAAATCGTGTTGCTCTATTTTTTAATACTGAGCTTTTTGTTTCCAAAAAATATCTCCTCGTCTGTAAACACATTAAACTTCAGTAAATTACTGGACTATGCGTTTTGTTAGGCGGTAACGGTTTCTTTTGCTATTATATTGTATTTTATATATTATTTTTATTTGCTATTTCTGCAGGTGGAGAAGGAAGAATTTATATTACAATGTATATATCGATGTATGTGTGTGTGCCCGCGTAATGTATGTTTTTTTTTTTTATTGACTGATTTGATTTTTTATTGTTTATCAACGTTTTTTTAGGTTATTTAAAGCCTAAACATATTTTTTCACTTTAAGAGTAATCATTTTTTGGTGGTGGGGGGTAGGCAGAGAATATTAACAATTATTGTGAAAAAATAATGATTTATGTATACAACTTCTACTAATTCCCCCATAGCTGGAGAAAGAAGAGATGGATTCGTACCTTTCCCAAGGGTATTTGTATTTGTGCGAAAGTGAATGTGACGAACCCGAACTGGAACTCGACTCTCCTATTTTGCATTCCGTTATCTATTAGAGCACCCGTACAGCCAAGCTTACAGTACTTCGTATTCCCAAGCGGTCACTCATCTAGGGACCGATCAGGCTCGACATTGCTTAACTTCGGTGATCGAACGAGAACCGGTATTTCAACATGTTATGGCCATAAGCCACGTATCTTGGGTGTTGGGTCTCTGTCTTTCATATTTTACATACACTTGTGTACATCCAACACCGTCGCATAATATGTTTCATTACAGGTGTATATATAAACGTTTATCGCTACTGCATTGTGCATTTGGTAGCGTGTGTATGCATACACATGATAGAAGCATACTCATCTTTAGTCTACTAACCTACACATTTACACACATAGATCAACACCTGGATTTTTCACAACAGGACATACACTTATATGATTGGAGTTGATTGTTTTATACGGCTTATCAACCTTTTGCAGGTTTTATTTAAGCTAGAAAATATATTTAGATTGTAAGATTTTATTTTGTTGGGTAAATAATAATGATTTACTGATACAAGTCCCACTATTTAACCCATAACTGGGGAAGAAGATGTGAATGCATACATTTCTCAATCGCATCCATTACACCACCCGCACATCCCAGCTTACAGCACCTGGTATTCCTAAACGGTTACCCATCTAGGTGCTGGCCAGGCTTGACTTCGGTGATCGTACGAGAACCCGTGTTTCAACGTGCTATGGCCGTAAGGCGCCATACATATATAATCATGTGCAAAACCATTTATTATATTGATTTTCTAAGCGTAGCTTAGATGTAGCACAAGGCCGAATGTATGGGGCACCCAGTGAGAATCGAACTCACAATTCTGTCGTAACTATTTTAGCGAGACAAGCTTGCTAACCATTACACCACGCCGAGGTTGCCAAAACCAATTATTATATGGAGACAGAATAAGTTGTTGGGATTTTGCAAATACAATTTTTTTTTTTACAATGATGTTCATCCTGCATAAGGCCCAGGAGACACTCAAGATAGATAGTTACGGGCACAGTTTATGGGGCTATGTTGGATCGATCGTCTCGGGAGGATTTTTCTATACTTAATTACTAGGTTTTGTTTTTCTTTTTTGTCTGAATCTCTGGGATGAGGAGTTATCATTATGCACACTATTTACACTCGGACTACTGTCCTCATCTTTGTTGTTGTTACCACAACGTTTCGGACATTGTGTGCTTCGGCCTTCATCCGGTAACCGAGTAGACATGGACAGTGGAACGAGAACAGTCTACTCCCATAGATTAAATAAAGGTTAGTTTAGTTTGGAACAAGGCTACCCTTTTTAGGTACCTAATGAGAATTAAACATTTATTTTAGTCTGTGTGAGGAGCACTTCGGTAGGATCCTCTTTTTGACCAACAGACGATATTTGTTAAGTTTTTTATTATGACGCCGACGACGAGTTATCTCGTGTTTCGCATATTCTGATACGTTTTTCATGTACGGGCGCCAACAACCAATTTATTCACAATGATACTTTTAGTGTGAAAACAGTGTTGACACTTCAGATAGAGTTTTTGATCAACTCATAAAATGTTTTTTTATTGCATGATTTTGCTATTATAAATTTGGGGTTTGAAGTCAGATTTCGTAATTGACCTCTGGTACAAGGTTAGGGTATAAGAGCACTTAGTGAAAATCGAATTCTGCAAATTGCATCAAATACTGGGCTTTTTATTCTTTTTTCTTTCTATTTTGTTTTATTTCACTATCGGTCTTTGCTTCCGATGGGTGACGGAATATTTTTCTAAATATTCGATCGCATATTCGAACAGGAAATCTAACCGACCATGTTTATGTCTTTATCTGAACAGACGAAGATCGAGTAAAAATTGAATGTTAAAATGAAAGAAAGAAAGAAAGAAAGAAAGAAAGAAAGAAAGAAAGAAAGAAAGAAAGAAAGAAAGAAACAGAAAGAAAGAAGAACGTAAATTAAAAGAAACGGAAAGAAAGAAAGAGAAAGAAGAACATAAATTAAAAGAAACAGAAAGAAAGAAAGAACGTAAAAAAAGAGAGAAAGAAAGGAGAACGTAAAGAAAGAAAGAACCTAAATTAAAAGAAAAGGGAAGAAAGAGGAACGTAAATTAAAAGAAACGCAAAGAAAGAAAGAAAGAAAGAAAGAAAGAAAGAAAGAAAGAAAGAAAGAAAGAAAAAGAAAGAGAGAAAGAAAGAAAGAAAGAGAAAGAAGAACGTAAATTAAAAGAAACGGAAAGAAAGAAAGAATGTAAAGAAAGAGAGAAAGAAAGGAGAACGGAAAGAAAGAAAGAAAGAAAGAAAGAAAGAAAGAAAGAAAGAATGTAAATTAAAAGAAACGCAAAGAAAGAAAGAAAGAAGGAAGAGAGAAAGAAAGAAAGAACGTAAATTAAAAGAAACGCAAAGAAAGAAAGAAAGAACGAAAGAAAGAAGGAAGGAAGAGAGAAAGAAAGAAAGAAAGAGAAAGAAGAACGTAAATTAAAAGAAAGAAAGAAAGAAAGAACGTAAATTAAAAGAAACGGAAAGAAAGAGGAACGTAAATTAAAAGAAACGCAAAAAAGAAAGAAATAAAGAAAGAAAGAAGGAAGAGAGAAAGAAAGGACGACGTAAAGAAAGAAAGAACTAGAGAAAGAAAGAACGAGAGAAAGAAGAACGTAAAGAATGAGGAACGTAAAAGGAACGAAAGCGTTAAGAAAGAAAGAAAAAAAATGAATCAAAGAAAGAAAATAAAACGAAAGAAAGAAAAGTAAAAAAAGTAAAAAAGAAGAAAATAAAGAAAGAAGAGGAAAGTAAAGAAAGAAATTAACTTTATGTAAGAAGAGTGATAGATAGAAAGCAAATTGCGTTTCAAATGGATTTGAAATAAAAAAAAAAATTTAGATTTTCTTTTTGAAAATAGTCGAAGTCGAGAAAAAGTCAAAATCCGTAGCAAGAATAGCAACAAAAAATAGCAAACGAAGTCCTCAAGTTGCAATTGTCGAGAGACGAACTTAAACAAGGGAGAGAGAGAGAGAACGCGAGCGAAAATGAAGGGGAGGAGGAGCAGCAGCGGGAGTTATAGAACAAGTGCAGGGAGTGAGAGGAAGGGGAGTAAAAGTGAAAGTTGGGAAAGCGAAAAAAAAAAAAAAAAGAAAAGCTGGGGTGGGTGCGAGGGAAAGGAAGAAAACGGACGCAAAATTTACGAAGGAAAATCACGAAGCTAAGAAAGTCAACCAAACGGACTGGGATTTGTTAAAGTTACACGGCAAAGCTGCTCTGGACCGGGAAGGAACCTAAATACGAGTCTTTAGCCGCTTTCTTGTTAGAAGCTGAATGTATCAGTCCAAGCAGGAGTTGTAGTAGTAGTAGTAGTAGTAGATGAAGAAGTAGTAGTAGTAGTTTTTTTTTTTTGTTGTTGTTTTGTTATTTTTAGACTTATTTATTTTATTTTATTTTATTTTATTTTTTTTCTAGTTTAGTGATAATTTTAGGCAATGGGAAGAACGGGGAGACCTGTCCCGGGAAATCGTAAAAAATGGCATCAAATCTATTTTGTCATTTTTTGTTCTTTTTTTTTAATGTTTTTACTCGTAATATATTGTGTGAAATGTCACTCTGTTTTCTTCGCTGATGATATTCTATATTAGGATGATACCGAAAAAATGTATCCAAATTTTTTTTTTGTCTTTTCTCTTATTTATTTAATTTTCTTTTCTTTTCTTTCTTTCTTTATTTCTTTCTTTCTTTCTTTCTTTCTTTCTTTCTTTCTTTCTTCTTACCATTCCTCTTTTTTCTTTGCTTTCTTTTCTTTCACTTTCACTTTCTCTTTCTTTCTTTATTTTCCCCACGTTCCACTTTTCCATTTTTCTTTCTTTAGATTCTTTCTCTTTTTACCTTTCTTTCTTTTCTTACTTTACGTTCCTATTGCTTTTTACTATCTTTTCTTTTATATTACTTTTTACTGCCTTTTTCTTTCTTTTTTCTGTCTGAAATTTCTTCACTTTTTAGTCTTTTTTTCTTTACATTCCTTCCTTCTTTACTTTTTCTTTCTTTCTCTTTTTACCTTTTTATTTCTTTCTTTTCTTACCTTACTTTCCTGTTTCTTTGTTTTTCTTTTCTTTCTCTTTTTACTTTCTTTCTTAACTTTCTTCACTTTCCATCTTTTCTTCTTTACGTTCTTTATTTACTTCCTTTCGCTTTTTACCTTTCTATCTATCCTTCTCTTCTTATTTCTTTCTTTTTTTTTTACTTTTTCTTTTCTATCTCTTTTCACTTCCGTTTCCTTTCTTTCTCTCCTAAATTTCTTCACGTTTCAGTGATTTTTTATTTACTTTCTTTTTATTTTTTATTTATTTAGTCCTTTTCTTACTTTACTTTCTTTTTTCTTCATTCCTTTTATCTTTTTCTTTTCTCTTTTTACTTTCTTTCTTTCATCCCTCAGCTTGTCTTGCAACAGTATTTTTCTTTTCTTCTTCATAGTTCATATTTTTTACTCCTTTAGAAATTGTTATTCCGTTCTTATTCTACTGGTATTAAGACAAAAAAAATGAAATTCAGAAATTTTATTTTTGTTTTCATTTCTTTTCTTTATCTTTTTTTTTTTGTTTCGTTTCTTTTATCCATTGTCCTTTTCCTTCTACTTGTTTCTTTCTTTTACTTTTCTTCTCCCACTGTCTTTCTCTCTCTTCATTGCTTACCTGTCATTCGTCTCCCTCTTTCATTTCCTTCAAGTTTTTTTTTTCGTTTCTGCTATTATTTTTCTTCCTTTCATTCTCCTTCACTACTCTCTTCCTTTCTTTTATTATATTTTATTCTTCTTTTTATTCCTTTTATTTTTCTCTTTTTTTTTCGCTTTCTTTCTTTTCGTTCCTTTTTTTTATATTTTTCATTTCTTTCACCCTTGTCTCCCTTTTCTTTCTTCATTTCGTCTTTTTCCTTTTCTTCACCCTTCACTTACTTTTCGTTTCTATCTTTCTCTTCCTGTTTCATTTTACCCTATCTTCTTTTCTTCTCGTCTTCATTCTTCTTTGTCACTAACTTTGTGCCATGGCCGTCTTCTTCTCCTCATTCATCACCTCCAACTTCTTCTCCTTCTTCTTCTGATCTTTACTTCTCTCCTTCCTTTATTTGATTCTTTCATTCTCTCTCACTCTCTCTCTCTCTCTTTCTCTCTCTCTCTTTCCCCAACTTTTGACTCAATTTTACTTCTTTCTCTATTTCGAACCATTTTGGATTTGGAATTTTTTCTGGAAAAATTAATCGTACTTCGATTTTCTTCTATTTTTCTCTACACACACACACACACACACACACACACACACACATATATATATATATATATATATATATATATATATATATGTATGTATATATATATTTCTTCACCTTTATCGTCAACCTCTTCAAATAACACCCCTACCTCAACAAGGGCCACCTGCACCCACGCCACCGTCCTATCTCACCCTCCACTTTTCATTTCATTCCCTATACTTGCGTTCACTCTGGCTTCATGCTCTATAGTTGTCATCAGGCCGCCACCACCCCCATCGGCACAGTGCCCGGCCCAGCCACACCCCTCTTGTGTCGTGGCCCGCCTCGATACACGCCACTTCCAGGAGCAGTAGAATCCTTCTTCAACCCTGGCAGCAGTATTCTACTGTCCTTCTGTTTCTGAATATGCACGACAAACGAGAGTGACCCCTCTCCACTAACACTGTCCGGCCTCTACCTCCCCGGACTCGACACTTCTCACTCGTTTCCCGGGACTGGAAAGAAAGAAAGAGAAGAAAGAAAGACTGAAATGACGAAGCAAAAGGAACGAATAATGGAAAATGTGCAAAGAACGAAAGTAAAATGGAAAAATAAAGGAGACTAAAAGCGTAAATGACGAAGAAAAGAAAATAAGTGAAAATAAATGAAAACGTCTAACGAAAGAAAATCTAAAATGAAGAAAAAAATGAAGAAGTAAAATAGAAGAAAATTTTTTTTAAAAAAAAGAAAGAAAAATGAAAATATAAAGAAAAAGATAATGAATGTAAGAATCAATGAAAGAAATAAAGAAAAAATAATGAAGAAAAATGGCGTCAACTGAAGAAGAATGTCTAAAAGACTGTAAAACTAAAAATGGATGGAAAAGATTGAGGAATGAATTGAAAATGAACGAGAAAATAATGAGACTTGAAAAGAAAATAAAAGGGTGAAATACAAGAATGAAAAAAAAAGGATGAACAAAGAAAAGCGAATCATTAAGGAGAAATAACGAAAATGTAAAATACCAAAGAGTCAAGAAAAAAAAAAAGGAGAAAGGAAGAGAACGAAAAAAAAAAAGAGAAATTATGAAAAAAATGAAAAAAAAAACAATGAAGGCATCGGATATGTAATGGGGAAAGTTAAAAAAAAAATAGAACAACAGAAGAAAAATATGTAAAATGGAAGAAGAATGAAACAAACAAACAATTATTAACAGTAACACCGAATGAAATAATAGAAAATGATTTTAATTAATGAAAGAGCGAAACGAATGGAAAGGAAACTGAAAAAAATATGAAAATAAAGGGACAAAAATAACAGCAACAAACCTAATGAAAAATGGTCGAAGAAGAAGAAGAAGAAGAAGAAGAAAACAGCAACAAACCAAATGAAAAATGGTTGGAGAAAGAAAGAAAGAAAGAAAGAAAGAAAGAAAGAAAGAAAGAAAGTAAGAAAGAAAGAAAGAAAGAAAGAAAGAAAGAAAAATAAATGAACAAAAAACAATAGCAAGAAACCTAATGAAAAATGGTCGGAAAAAGCGAAGAGGAAGAAGAAGAAGAAGAAAAAGATTGGTGTGTGACTGGGGTGGCGGCGGCGGTGGTGATGGAGCTGAAATGACAACAAAGACAGCGGTTGTATGGTGAATTCGTCTTCACTTCAGCCCGTAAAAGCTACTGACACTGCCGGAGTCGGAGTAGTATCTATCCGAAGGAAGGCCAAAACTGGCGGTGATTGGGGATATGGGGGTGATTTGGTTGAGATGTAGGAGAGGGCCGTGATAGTGACATTCGTTATGGTGGTTGTTGTTGCATTTATGACAGAGAAGAAGAAGAAGAAGAAAAGAATAAAGCGAGAAGTAAAGAGAGAGAGAGAGAGAGAGAGAGGAAATAAGGACGGCGGTTGTACAAGTAGTGTGCGAATTGGTGATATCTGACGAGTGGTGACCCTTTACACCAGAGATGGCACACGGATTGCACGTGCGCGCATGTGTGTGTATGTGTGTGTATCTGTGTGTGTGTGTGTTTATTGGATGCAGGCACCGATTATTGAGCAAGGTTGAGAAGCACGAGATGTGTTATATTTGTTCGTGAGGGTCGTGTACGCTGTGCAGTGTGAAAACACACACACACACACACACATACAAAAAAAAAAAATCCCCCAGAAAAATCAAGGTATTTATTCAGTAGCACAGGCGTGGGATACAGTACACGCGCTGGAAATATTACGGATTACAAAACTAAATGAAAAAAACAAAAACATTCGGACTATATTAGTTGGTTAGTGGATTTGTTTTCTACGGCTTATCAACCTTTTGCAGGTTATTTAAAGCAAGACAATATTTTCACATTGTAAGAATTATTTGTAATAATAATGATTTTGTATTACAAAATCTATTTACTATTTAACCCATACATACAGGAGAAGGAGTGGATTCATACCTTTCTCAAAGGTATTTGTGCATAAATCAATATAACGAACCCAACAAAAATTGGAACCCTGGTCTCCAATTAACATTTCCAAACCTTTATCCATTACACCACTTGCACATACAAGCTGACAACCTACAGTATTTCCAAGCGGTCACCGATCTAGGTACTGACCGCGCTCGATGTTGCTTAACATCGGTAATCGTACTCGAACCGGTGTTTTCAATTAAGGAAGACTGTTTTTGTTTTTACTAATTTTTTTTTTTTATTATTGTTTATAAGAACCTACCTCACTACAAGAGTAACTATAATGGGATAAAAGGATGTTCCAATAACTTGTACTGATTTTAAATTGGAATTAAGTTTAAAATCGCTCCAAGTTATTGGAACAACTTATATTTTATCTCTTCTCTGGAAAGTCCTTCCACTTTTTATTAGCTACTTATTTTTAAAACTAACACACTATTATCACTTCACGCACACGCACACTCACACACACATCTCCCACTAAGTCCCCTATAAGTCCTCTCTCTCATTCTAACCAACCAACTAACTTGTATCCCATTACAAACTGATACCATAAACAATCTGAAAACTCCTGAAAATTTTAAAATTAAAATTCGTAGGTGAAAATGTTCATTAACTAAAGGTATCTTAATTCCAATTGTCAGGAAAATCTGCTCTGTTTAATGAAAATAAACATTGAGCGCTCTTTTGTGAGTCAGTTTTAACATATTTCAAATTCTATGTTGTGTTAGGACTCGCCTGGATTATACCAACGGGTTACTACTTGTTTATATATATATATTCCGTGTATTTAGGTAACAAATCTTCTTTACTTTAAGACAAATGTTATTAAAGACGAGAGAAATTTTGTGTCGATTAATTTTATTTCCCAAGAAAAATCGAATCATAAAAAAAAAAAACACTCATGATCCTCGAAGCAATACTCATAAAAAACAAAAAAACAAAAAAAACAGCGATCTATTAATGAAAACAATTTTAAGAGCCCACGTCCTCAAATGTAAACACACACACGCACACAAGTCATACCCTGCCTACGTCACTGCACTCCTTGGCTACGTCACTACACTCACCAGTTCTTGAAACTCAACATTTGTCTGTACCTACCGTTATTATGACTTAAGAAAACTGAAAGCTTGGACCGTATTGCTTCCGATATGAACTTTGGAGAATTTCTGACGGAATTTCCTCCTTTTCTAAAAAGGATTATTTGTAATTTTGAAAACTAGTCCATTAAACTTAATATGCCTGTAGTCTTTATATATATATATATATATATATATATATGTGTGTGTGTGTGTGTGTGTGTGTGTGTGTGTGTGTGTGTACACTACACTTCAAACGTTATTTAGAAATTGCTTTGTTTACGATTCGGATACGAAACTGAGCAGATATGATTTCCCAAGTTGAGTGGCCAAAGCACGTCAGATCAAACGACGATTTCTACTGCAAGTAGGTTTTTCAAAAATTTAGACCAGTATACGAAATAAAATGCTGTTTCAAATAAACGGACCATCTTTTCAAATATGTGTCCACAAAAAAATAACGTTTCACGTAATAAAAATGTTGGATTGATAAATAAAACTATTAAATCTTTAGTAATATATATAATGCAGCAAAAAATTAACAAGATTTGTATGACAATACTATAAATAGGTTATCTTCACTTAGACATCTGGTTAAGCATATTTTCGAGCAATCTTTAATTTAAAAAATGTGAAAACTTGATATTTTTTTTATTATTTCTGTTTATGCATGTTGCAAAATAAAATCCTTACATCTACCTTGATAAAGTCCACCAGTGAACGAAACGCATCGGTAAAGAAAAGTTTTCCTTTTGCATTTATTCATAGATAGATAGATAGATAGATAGATATGATGTGGACTTAGATAGATAGATAGATAGATAGATAGATAGATAGATAGATATGAAGAGGACTTAGATAGATAGATAGATAGATAGATAGATAGATATACTTAAAATTGCTACATTCAATGAGCACAATATGTATGGTAGAGTGTAGAAATAAACAAAACAGATGTCCTGCTTAAGGCGTGGAACTGACAGTCATTGTGTAGCTTTGTTTTATACACGCGATAATAACAATAATAATAATAATAATATATATATATATGTGTGTGTGTGTGTGTGTGTTTGGCAGCAAATTCTCTTTCAGGCATGTCTGATTGAATAAGTTACAAACGTTATGTCTGCTTATTTCGATTATAATCCTTTCATATTCACGAATATTTTCAGTATATTACAATTAAATGAGGCAAGAAATGCACTGTAACAGTGAGAATCACTTATACGTACGTACATACATACATGCATACATATATATATATATATATATATATATATATATATATATATATGATGTGGATACTACCTCCTTTTGTCCCATAATAGTTGTGACATTTAGTTCATGAAATGTGTATGCAAATGTAACAATTATTATGAGACATAAGCGGTTAATATTTCCTTTTAAAAGTGTTTGTGTTTGTTTATTTTGTGGTTGATAGTGCACTTTCGCTTAAATCCCTTTTAACAATCATATCAAGCATGACAAAGCACTCACACATTAGAATTTAAAAAAAAAGATCCTACTAAAAAAAAAAAAAAGAAAAGAAAGTGGGTTATGAAAGAAATTCAAATGGTGAGAGATTCACTTTTTTCACCTCCTGAAGCATCCAGCCGTATATCACAAATTGTCGTAGGTCAGAGTATTTTACCCCCACTTTTCCGTCAGGATTTTGTTCCTTGTTGTCATTCGCGCTAATTTTATGATCTGTAAATTCTCGTGTTACTACATTTTTTTTTCATTTTATTCTTTTCCGTTTGTTTACCTCTCTCGTTGGCGATGAACTTTTCATTTTTATTTCATTTTTTTTTTATTCTAATTCCTTCGCTTTCATTTTTATTCATTTGCCTTAATTTATATTTTATTATTGTTGACGAGCGTTCCACTTCAGTTTCTAAAGTCTTTCTTACATATATATATATATATATATATATATATATATATATATATATATATATATATATATATATATTCTTTCTTTTCTTCGTTTATTTTTTCTCACGTCTTTTCATTGTTTCTTCCTTTCGTTCTTTTCTTCGTTGGATTTTTTTTTCTTCTGTTCTTTTCTCGTCTTTTGCCCTTTCCATTTATCTCTCTCTCTCTCTCTCTCTTTCTTTTTCTCTCTCTTTTTGTTTTTTATCCCTCCACTCCTAAAAATTTATCCTCTGACTTCTCCCCTTTTTCCCTTTCTATTTCTTTTTATACTGAATTCTCTATCCATTGTCTTTTCTTCATTTGTTTTCTTTTCTCTTTCTATCCTAATGTTTTTTTCTTTCTTTTCCTCTTTTTCTCTAGCTTCCCGCTTTAAGTTTTCCTTTATTCTCCCACTCTCCTCTCTCCTAAACACACTCTCTCCTATCTTCTACATCATTTCTTATTTTCTCTTTTCTTTTTTTTCTATTATCTGTCAGTCGTCTAGATTTTCTTTTACTCGTCACCTTCTCTTCTCTTCCCACTTTCTTTTACCTTCTTTCCGCCACTCTTTCCTCTCACTTCTTTCCTACCTTGTCTTGTTCTACTCTTTTCCTATCCTCTTTCGTCTGCTCTCTTCGTTTTTCTATCTATATTCTTTTATTCTCGCTTTGCTTTTAACTCTATCTTTCTCCCTTCTGTTTAGTCTCTCTCTTTTCCTTTCTTTTATCTTTTCTCTTTCTTAAACTTTCAAATAGGCTTGTAATACAAGGTGTCATTTTTCCCGCCTCAATCTAGTGATATCCAAACTCCATGTTTTTTTTTTTTTTTTGGGGGGGTTATACGATCATTTTTAAGTTTTTTTTAATTAATCGAATCTTTATCCGATCAATAAAGGGAACACAAATAATAATAATAATAATAATAGCAATATAAAGCACAACAAAACAAAAACATAAACCACTGAAAAAACAGGAGTGACTTTATGGAGAACATTATTATTTACATTATTTACATTGTTTGGACTGTTGTCCTCATCTTTACTGCCATATTCCCGACATTTCGGCCGTTGTTACGCTCTGGCCTTCTTCAGGTGATTGGAATTTCAAGTACACATGGAACAGTGGACAAAAGTGTTGGTTGGATCCAGTGACTTGACGAAAGAGTTGTGAATTCAAAACCTGGCTACTGCAGTGGTGAACAAAAACTTGAAGAGTTGAGTTAAAGGGAGTTAACTGATACATCCGGAAGAGGCATGGCACGTGGAACTAGAACAATCTGCCCCGGTGGACGAAATAAAGGGTTCAGGTCGAAATTCCAACCACCTGAAGAAGGCCGGAGCGTAAAACGACCGAAACGTCGTGAAAACGACAATAAAGATGAGGATAACAGTTCGAACAATGCAAATAGTGTAAATAGTTATAATACTTCAATGTCAGAAATATAGACAAACATTTTTTTCGTTCTGGGCGATTATGGCACTCCCCATCTTCTAGTTTTTTACTACTCTAAACAATTCTTGCTTCGTTCTGATCCCTTCTTTTACCTGCACTGTTATCCATTAGATAGGTTACTCGTTTTTACCTGATTCTCTTGCCTTTGATATAACCTGTGAGTTTTACATTCGCTAAGCCGTCTTTCTTCATGATGTACCCTAAAAATGTTAATAGTCTCTTTCTGATTGTTAGCAGCAGTTTCTTTGTGGATACTATTCTCCTTAGAACTTGCTCGTTTCTCACCCGAAACTGACAAGAACGGCTTTGCTACACCGTTTGTGCAACGTTACATATAGGTTGCAAAACCATTTTTTGCAGACTCCCCACAACGTACCCGTAACTTTGCAAATAAGTTGCCTTACATTGCATTAACAGAAATCAGTACATCCCAGGAAGATATTAAAACATGCGTTCAAAATTAGCGATTCTCAAAAAGAAATTTTGACAAACTTGGATCTTCGTGCCCGTACAAGAACAGAATGTCAAAAAGACGTTTTTTCCTTTGACGCCACTATTATTTTTACCTTCACTCTTCGGCAATGTTTACTGTTTTAAAAAAAGCGGTGATCAAAATTGTATTAAAACCTAAATATGATGAAAGTGAATTTATACATAATTTTGGTTTGGTTTGGTTTACAGCATATCAATCTCAATGGGTTATTTAATGCCGACAAAAATTTTATTGCTGGTAATATGTTTTTCTTCAAAAATCTATTTCTGGGAATACTTTTCCGTGAAGAAATCTATAGAATGGTAACAGTTTTTTAAAAAAATCTATAGCTGTTTGTAGTACTTTTTTAAAAAGTATTGCTGATTATAATTTTTCCTTCAAAAATTATTGCTGGTAATATTTTTTTTATTACAAAGTATTTCTGGTATTAAAACCTATTTTTACACAAGTTTGGGTATCAACTATTTGCCCATAGCTGGAACCCTAACAGGTGCTACCACCCCAGGGTACACTTGTGAACGCCAGCAATTAAGAGGTGGTTCCACGCTCCTCAAAACCTCCTGATCAGAGGCCTTGCTGTCGGACGTAGTTTATCGTCTTACCCAGGACGCGGATGTAGTTTAACGTCTTACCCAAGACGGATACAAACTTTCGGTTCTTGAGAATTGACAATAAAAATGTTAAACACTATTTATTAGATTTTATATTTACAAGAATAATTTTATATTTACAACATTCTAAAAAATAATAAATTTAAAACAAATGCAATGCAATATTTATCAATTTATGAATAAATAAATATAGAATTTTTTTTTTATAGATGAATTTATAAATATTTACTGATTTATTAAAGTATGTGAATCACCTATAAAGAAATCCTTCTTATTTAGCACATTATAAAGTTCGAATCGATTGGCAATTGGCCGATGTTTTGCCAACCATTCCGTTAAACAATAATTAAACAATCTAATGATTAAGTTTTTATTCTTTTTTGTCAATTCTCAAGAACAAAGAAAATGTATATATACACTTTCTTATATTTAAGTTTTATTACAATTCTAATCTGTTGAAACATTGTTATTATTATAGTTAAAAATAAAATATGCAATAATGATAATAATGAAAATTATAAATAAAATTAAATTAAATTAGAACTTCGTTTAAAATAAATAATAAAAAAAATAAAAATAAATAAAAATGACAAAATTACTCCCAGCATGCAACAAGGACTTTTCCTGCCGGAAATACGGACATCTCGGCAAGAGATGTGAGGTTGAATCTCTTCCCCTACACCCGCCAATTATAAATTGTTAAATATTGCATTAGCTTCTAAAATCTAATGCAATATTTACCAATTTATGAAGAAATAAATATGAAAACAATATTTTTATTCATAAATTTATAAACATTTATTAAAATATGTAAACCAACTATAATGATATCCTTATTATTTATAATTTTATAAAGTTCGACTCAAGCGGCAACCAATCCAATAAACAATAAATAAATAGAGTAAATAAACAATGTAATAAAAAAGACTACCGAGGAGTGAAGGTAGTTAAAATAATAGCGGTGTGTCAAGGAAAAAACCGTCGTTTTGATACTCTCTCTCTCTCTCTCTCTCTCTCTATATATATATATATATATATATATATATATATATATATATATATATATATATTGAAGACAAAAAAGTCTAAGTTTGCCGAAATTTTATACCTTTTATACGTATCAAGTGTAAAAAAAATATTCTGATGGGGCTAGAAAATAGTTGATTGCAAATTTACAGTAATCGCAACAATGTCACATATCGTCCTCATCACCCCCGCGCCATAAACCAAAATACATCGTATCTGCAACGTCGCCAGAACATGCCTTGTTAGCTGGAAAATACTCTCTCTGGCAGTATTCGGGAAAACCACATCTCTCTCTCACTTCCAATTTTTTTATTTTTTTTATCATCTGTGAGGAAATTTACCGCACTCATTACCATATAGAAGATTAGACATTGCATAGCAGTTCAGCACTATTTTCTTCGTATTCAAAATGTTTTTTTCATCGTCCTGGAATTAAAAAATGTCACGTCTCTTCAGGCTGTTGATGATCCTTATTCGCCACAGATTACTTTT